CATGGAATCTCCACTGCAATTGGATCAAGAAGAGTAGGGTCTCCCTAGATGCTCCCAGATGCAGTTTTAGCTCCAAAGTCGTTAATGCCCTTAAAGAGGAGGATGTGAGTTTTGGCTCCTTTGACATCTCAACTGATGAGGAAGTTAGGCAGGGGTTGAAAGTCATTTCAAACTGGTCAACCTTTCCACAGCTTTATTACAAAGGGGAACTCATAGGTGGTTGTGATATAGTGTTGGAGCTTAAGAACAATGGAGTGCTAAAATCTACTCTGACAGAGTAGAATTTTACTTTGGTGTGGTTTTGTCAGAAGATCCCGTAAAAAATTTCTAATGTTAAGTTCGTCATAAAAGTGCCTCAGACATACTTGTGCCAAAAGATTGTTTAGACACTTTCTCAATAGTGTTCCGATGCTATGATATGGATTTCTGATATAATTAATGTTTCATACTCTAAATTTTGATAAACTTAGCTACCAATTAGTTTTGCTGCTCGGTTCTTTTTTTCGTAGCTTATGTAGTTATGGATATATATGTTTGCAATAACTATTCCTTTCTGAAATGATATATCAATGTGTGTATTTACGTGTGTGTGTGGGGATATCAATGTGTGTATTTTAAAATGATATTTTCATTTACTCTTTTTTCTTGTGTATGGGTATCAATATGTGAATTTGCTCATTTAAGCGGGTATCAATATGTGAATTTGCTCATTTAAGCGTGTGTGTGTGTGTGTGTGTGTGTGTTGAAGCGGGGGAGCTGAAGACCACATACAAGGCATCAAGGCCCAACTTGTTTATGTAACTTGGTTATTTGACAATCAAGCTTTTAACTTGTTTATGGAATGTACATTTTTGTTCAACAAATTAATTACTCACTAATGCTCCTTTTAGTTGTAATTATATTGTGAATGAAGAAATGAAAAAAAGAGAATTAATTATCATAAATTTTTTTTAAAAAAACTCAAAATCATAGCATTATGTTTTTTTTTTAAAGTTAAACAAGTATGTCTAAATACCAAAAATAATTATATATATTTAAGTTTCATACCATGTCTATTTTGGTCATTTTACATACCCACAACAATTTAACCTAAAAATTTACCAAACGCTATTACACTGATTTTAGAACCAACACAGTTACTATAATTACAGTTTATCAAACACCCAACTACTTCTTGTAACAACTACTTCTTCTTTCAGCACATCTAAAAATAATTTTTCTAAAATCTACAGCACTACCAAATTAGGCTTCTGTTTGGTACCCCAAAATGATTAAAGTTAGTTCTTTTCAGCATTGTCTATAAGGACTTCCTGACTCTTGGCCTTCTCGGCCTCATGCTTTCTCCGCTAGATCCTTCAGAAACCAGGTCCACAACTTCAATCTGTATAACATTCAGAACATGATTGAAGACCTTTATTATCAATAAGATCAACAATATGGAATTATGAAACTAGAAAGTTATAAACTACTAGAACCTTCAGTTGTGATAGGCCTCTTTCAGCTCTCTTCCTATTGACCGAAATTCCACCTGGTAAAGTCTCCTTGCTGCCAAAACCAAATACATTATTATCAGAGTTTTTCTTTACCTCGAGTCATTCATAAGTCATACAAAAATTGCAGAAATAAAAACCAAAGAATTACATCAACCCACTTTCGAAACCAGTTAAAAGGCCAAAGTAAAAATTTTCATCACACATAAATTTCAATGAAGGGTCACTCAGACCAAAATTATTTCAGATTCTTAGATGTTAATCCGAAACAAACCTCACAATTAAGAGCTCTAGTTTTTTAAAAATAATAAATAAATAAAAAAACAGAACTTATAGAAAATTGGGTGCTAAAAAGTTATCATTCTTCTTTTTAAACAAGAAACATATCAAATTTGTCAAAAAATAAATAGTTGTCACAAAATAAGCAGTGGAAAGCTTTTAGAAGGTCATCGGTATGAAACATACCTTGATGTAATTTTCAACATTGCGCATCCTTTCCTCAATAGGCTGTATCAGCTCAGCGAACTGCCAAACCAAAAATCACATCTTTGACTTCATTCACTACTCACATTGGTAAAACTTTCAAAGAATCAAATCCACGTGAAAAATTCAATTTTGAGGCAAAAAAAAAAGTGTTTCAACAGATTCTCTTTTTAGTTAAATTACCTATTTTTTAGTTAATTAAAATTTTAACTGTACATCCAAACGTTAATTTAAACTACAATTTAAACCACATAGTTTGAATTTTTCTGCTCAAATAAAAAGTTCAAATCAACAAAATTTAAACCAGCGAACCAAACGAGGGCAAAGTTTTTAGTAGAGCAAATGAGAATAAATTATTTATTTAGTATATATAAAAAATAGTATTTAAGAGGGAAAAAAATATTTAGACAGTGATACATTTGAGAAGATATGATATCAGTATAGTTATTAAAAAAATATTTTATGAGGGCCACATATAGAAAAAGAGTATTGAATAGGCTCATATGTGAAAGAAATTAATTAAAAGGAGAAAAATTAGAGTAGTTTTATTTATGAGATAAATTGAGAGTATCACGGAGTAAAAGAAAACCACATGTAAATATGACAATAAGAAAAAGTATTTTAAAAAACACATATAGAGGGACTAAACTGTAGAATAGCCCTTAACAAAAAGGAAAACATAGGGATATATTTAAAAGAAATTATTTTAGTAAGTGCAAAGTAAGAAAAAAATATTTCAAACAAACACATTGTAAATAAAATTAAGTTGTAAAAAACTTTGGGCAAAAAAGAAAAGAAAAGAAAATAAAAAGATGATGCTCTTGTGTTAAAAAGAAAGAGAATCCTTCTTATAGTGCACATGACAAAAGATGGGAAAAACTTTTTTTTCACTCTTTTATACATGTTATTAAAGATTAAAGATAAGAAAAAACACATGGTAAACAACATTAAATTGTATTTAAATTTTGGGGAAAAAGAACAAATAGAGAAAAAAAAACAAAACAAAACAAAAAGATGATGACAAAAGCCTTGCAGAGAGAAAAATTTTTTGGCTTTTTTATGCCTGTTAATTAAAGATTAAAGAATAAAGATATTTAATCCCCATTTGTTTTACTAATTTAGTTCAGTTTAAATAGTGAGCACAATTTGAACTGGTGTTTAGTAAGCATATAGTTTAAAATATATTTTTCGTTTGAATTGAGTTAAACAATCAAACTTAGAGTTTAACTCCCTCCTCAAGTTCAACTATTCAAACTATTTTTAAACAATAAAAAGGTGTCCACTCTCTATACTTTTCACACATAGCAAACACAAATTCGAAATTTATTCATTGTTCAAATTAAAACTTTAATTGTACATCTAAAATTAATTTAAACTATGGTCTCGTTCATTTCACCGATTCGAGTTTTTAGTTTAAGGTTTTTACAGTAAAAAGCTCTCATAAAATGTTGCATCTAACTTTTTCTGCTACAGTAAAAAACTCTCAGAAAATGTCACATCTCAGCTCGAATTGAAAACTCGAATCCGCGAAGTGAACGAGGACTATAATTTAAACTACACGTTTGAATTAGTATGTTCAAATTAAAAAGTTTAAATCAAGAAAATTCAAACTAGCGAACCAAACGGAGGCTTCGAGTTTACTTTTTTGGAGTAAAACTCAAAAAAAGTTTGAACTCAAGTTATAATTTTATTCAAGTTCATGTTCGTTTGTAAAATTTGAGTTTTAACTTAAGTTTGGGGCTAAAATCTAAGTTTAAGTTTTCCCTTCAACTCAAGTTCTTAAACTCAAACTCAAGTTGATGAACATTTTCTTAGAACTTTTAACTGTAGCAGAAAAAGTTAGATGTGACATTTTTTTAGAGCTTTTAACTGTAGAAACGTAAAACTAAAAACTCAATTGGTGAAATGAATGAGGCATAAGCAGTTTTTCAAAATATTTTAAAAATGAGAGTTTCTCTAGTAGTCCGTCCTATCTTAATCTCAGTTTTTAACTGTTAAATATGGTTAAAATCACATCAGATTAAAAAAAATATGCAGAACAGATAAATTTTAATACAGATTTATCTGTTGAAAAGTAAAAGACTATCAGTAGTCTATTTTTGCAGGAACTATTAGAGAAAATCCCTTAAAAAGAAGAAAAGTAAAAACAAAACACATGAATGATGTAGCCCCCGTTTGTTTCACTGGTTTAGCTCAGTTTAATTTAATTTGAATAGTGAGCACAGTTTGACCTGATATTTGATAAGCATGTAGTTTGAATTATATTCTCTGTTTAAATTGAGTTAAACTGTCAAACTTTAAGTTTAGCCCCCTCTCAAGTTCAACTGTTCAAGCTATTTTTAAACAGTAAAAAGGTCACCACTCTCTCTGCTTTTTACACATCAAATACAAATTAGAATTTTATTTCATGTTTCAATTAAAATTTAAATTGCACATCAAAATGAAGAGACGATTGAGATGATTTTTTTTATGCGTTCACAACGAAAAGACGAATAAAACTCCACCTATATACCTTATTATAATTTTTCATCACCATTGAGATTTTATTAAAATACTATTTAAATACAAATTTAAGTTTTGACCCACTCAAACACAAACTCAAATAGATTCTCAATTTAAATCATAATTTAAATGTGTAAATTCAAACACAAACTTAAATTATAATTTTAACTTAAATTTAACTCAAAATTTATACTCAAATTATAATAACTCAAAAATGCAACTGAAGGTCTTAGGCCCCGTTCACTTCACTGATTCGAATTTAGAATTTGAGTTTTGCTACAGTAAAAAGTTCTCAGAAATAGTCACATTTAACTTTTTTATTACAGTAAAAAATTCTCACATAAAATCACATCTCAACTCAAATTATAAACTCGAATCAACAAGTGAACGGGCCTTAATTTAAAATAAAGCACGTTTCCTCAAGGTACTATACAAGGATATGAAAGAGAGTTCGGACTTGCAATTGAAAAATTCAAATCCAGTTCAGAGAGTTCAGAGAGAGAGAGAGAGAGAGAGAGCGAAAAGAAAAAAAAAAGCAAAAAAGAAAAGAAAAGAAAAGAAAAGAACTTCTAGCAAAGCAAAAGGTTTTGGAGGTTGAAAATGGTTAGCTTCTGTTCAATTTCTTATTTAATTTATATGTGTGTGTGTGTATATATATATAACAATGCTAGGGTTTTCCTTTTCTCCTATTCACTTTCTCTGTGTTAAGTTTTTGAGCTTTATGAATGCGGAGTTGTTGATTTGTAGGCGGACGATTATACCGATGAACTCGATTCCTTGTTCGATTACAAAAGAGTTCAACCAAATATCGTCTTATGTTTAGACAGTGAGTTTCGACGCCTCATTGTTTTCTGTTTGGTTGATCATAAACTGTATTCATTAGGTTTTCGGTTGGGAAAAATCAATTCTTGCAAATTTTGGTGGGGTTTTATTGATTAGGAATTGAAATATGAAAAAGGGTTGAAGCTTGAATTTAAGATTTAAAGTTTTCTTCCTGGAATGTTTAATTCAATATTTGATATTTCGTTTAAGCTTTATTGATTAATTTATGGATGAATATGAGTTGGTTCGAAAAAAGTTTGAATCTTGAATTCGATGTTTTATATTTCTTTGAAGCTTAGTTATGGTATTTCTGTTATGGTTATGGCTAATGAGTTGGGTGCCAAAACGATTTGAAGATTGAATTAATGTTTTATATTTCTTTGAAGCTTCATTCTTTTATTTCTGTTATTTTATTGCAGATGATGAGTTAGATGTCATTCCGGCGTCCTCTCCGAAAAGGAGGAAGGTTGCTGGTTCAAAGGTACTTAAAGAGGCCTGGATACCCTAGGTTATTAAATATTAAAAAAAAAAAAAACTATTACCGGATTGGTTAGTGGGAGTGGTTTTAAATGAAGCTCCTTTAATTGTTTTATCTTACATTTTTTGAATTATATGGTATCAGGTTGAAAAGGTGGATAAAAATGAGAAATCAATTTACGTGCTTGATTGTGAAGTGGAAGATAAGGAAAATGAGGATTGGCTACCTTCTCCACCAAAAGTTTCATGTCAGGCTACGGTCCTTGCTGAAAATTCAACTATTAAAGAGTTGAGGTATACAACAACTTTTAGGGTCCGTAACATTTTGTTGTGGTATATTTTTTCAATTGATGGCCCGAGATGCAATCCAAAGAGACTCAACATTTTGTCTGTTCAAGTATTTAGCTTTCTTTCCGAAGCATATTCGCATTTTTATCTTTGCAGCTGTAATAATTTGATTTTGAACTGCTACTCGTTCCTTTAGAGATGGCCTCATTTAGTATATTTTGGGCTCCTTTTACCATAAGTTCTTCATATCAATGGCATTTTTGCATATAGGTTAATGAAGCAGGAGCTGTTATCTTGTGCACTATCAGCGGAGGATGTCTTGCGATCCATGGAAGAGTCTGTGAAAGAAGGTGGTAAATCATTGCAGTCTTCTTTGGATGCCGTTGCAGACCAACCTTCAAGACCTCATAATGAAAGAGCTAAGATAGTTATTTCTGTTCAGGACAAGGATGGGCTCAAGCAATTTCGCATATACATGGTATATTCTTACGAATATTGTGATACTATTCTGTTCATACACTACCATTATCATTGATAAGCTTATGTATAGTTACCAGGGGTAAAAAATAAAAATCTGGGGTTTTATAGTATTACGGTTATTCTTTCTGAAATGTAGAGGTTATGTGGAAAGAAATATCTCATTGAAAGGCTGAACACTTGGTATATTAAAGATGATGATGATAAAATTACACCATTACTCCGCTCTCTCTCTCTCTCTCACACACACACACCTCATTGGAGACACACTTGACTTGACTATATATGTCTATTTGTTTATGTAAAATGCCTACCGTGTGTTCATGGTCACATTAAGATTTTTCAGACAGCATGGAAGAATCAAGGACTTGATGGAATCGATGAATGAAAAGATTTTGATAGACTTTTTTGTGAAGTTTGAGTTTCCTGAAATACTTGATGATCATAAAGTTGCACCATATACTTCTCTCTCTCTCTCTCTATATATATATATATATATATCTGTTTATTTGTTTGACTATGTAGAATATCTCTCTCCCATCTATTTGTTTATATCTGTCTATTTGTGTGTATTATTGGTTGAGTTTAACTGTCTGACAATTGAATAATCTAAGTTCTTATAATGTGCAGGATGACAAGTTTGAGCGGCTCTTTCAATTGTATGCGGAGAAAGCTAAGCATGACCTACGGAGTCTGATATTTTGCTTTGATGGTGAGAAAATAGGAGCAGAAGCAACCCCTAATGCTCTTGGAATGGAAGATAATGACATTATTGAAGTGCATGTTAAGTCAAGCTGATGAGGTAATTTCTTTTTAAAAAGCACCATTTTGACTAAAGTACTCGTTTAGAAGTTTACTGTGCTGCTATGAGATTTTCAAAATAGGGAGTTTCTTTTTGTTTTTTTTTTCCTTCTCATTTTGTTTCTTTTAACAGTGAGGAAAATATAATTTCTCAACAAAAGAAAATATATTCACATCATTTGTTAATTGAGTTTCTGAATCTGGGTATCCAAAATTGTGAAGAAATGGGTATATCTTTGTATAGCCTGTGCATAGAAACCCAGAGGTGTAGTGTTTTCATCCTATGCAATGAGATATACTCATAAACTATTTTCTTTACCCATCCTTATTAGTTAAATGGGTTGTATAACTGTACCTTTGCCCTTTGAGTTATCATGTATTAATCTAGTGCCCCCTCTATTTGAAGTCAATAACCATGTTGTAGTTTTTTAGAAGAAAAAGAACTTACTTTCTTATTATTAATATGTGGAATTTAGAAGCTATTTATAGGCATAAAACTAACTTAGAAAATCTATCCTAATCATGAAATCCTAATTGGATTCCAAGTCATCCTTATCCGGACCTAATCAAACATTCTATCCGGATTTCTAAATTTAAAAACAGAATCAAGGAAGAGATAACTCCTAACTTTCAGAATGATAATCTCCTTAAGAGATAATTTCCTAACTTTAAAAAACCCTAGGTCTTTGACACTTCCCCTCAAGTTGGTGCATAGATATCTATCATGCCCAACTTGCTGATAAGAAACTCAAAGCTTGGTCTGAATAATCCTTTCGTGAGAATATCAGCTATTTGTTGTGTTGTTGGAATAAACGGCATACAGATAGCACCTTCTTCTAGCTTCTTCTTTATGAAATGTCTGTCAATTTCAATGTGTTTAGTTCTGTCATGTTGCATTGGGTTGTAAACAATACTATTCATAGGCATCTCTATTGGTTTCTTCAATTCCTCAAGAATCTTTTTTAACCACAACATTTCACATACTCCATGAGCCATTGCCCGGTTTTCAGCTTCTGCACTACTTCGAGCTACTACACTTTGTTTCTTGCTCCTCCAAGTGACTAAGTTTCCCCAAACATAAGTGCAATATCCAGATGTAGATCTTCTGTCTGTGACGGAACTCGCCCAATCTGCATCTGTGTATGCTTCAATTGTTTTCTGCTTGTGTTTCTCGAAGAGGAGTCCTTTCCCTAGAGTGCTTTTCAAATACCTCAGGATTCGATATACTGCCTCAAGATGTTCTTCACGCGGTGAGTGCATGAATTGACTTACCATACTAACTGCGAACGGAATGTCTGGTCTGGCATGAGATAGGTAAATTAGTTTTCCTGCCAACTTCTGATATCGTGTTGTATTTACCGGATCTCCATCTTTGGCATCTCCCAACTTCTGGTTAGGGTCCATTGGGGTATCAGCAGGCCTACACCCACTCATTCCTGTTTCTTTAAGGAGGTCAAGGACGTATTTCCTTTGTGAGACAACAATACCCTTTTTTGAACGAGCAACTTCCATTCCCATAAAATATTTTAAAGATCCCAAGTCTTTGATCTCGAATTCTGAAGCCAAACATTCCTTCAAACGACTCATTTCAGCAGAATTATCTCCAATAAGGATGATATCATCTACGTAGACTATCAAAACTGCAATTTTCCCATCATCGGAGTGCTTGATGAACATACTGTGGTCACTTTGGGCTTGGACATATCCCTAATTTTTGATAGACTGAGTGAATCATTCACACTAGGCTCTTGGGGATTGTTTGAGCCCATAAAGTGATTTTCTTAGCTTACACACCTTAGAACCAAAGTGCTTATCAAATCCAGGCTATGGATCCATATAAACTTCTTCTTCCAATTCTCCGTTTAGAAATGCATTCTTCACCACATCTAACTGTTGAAGCGGCCAGTCAAGAGTTGTTGCAATTGAAAGAAGTACTCTTACGGTATTCAGCTTTGCCACCGGAGCAAAGGTCTCGAGATAATCAACGCCATAGGTTTGAGTAAACCCTTTAGCCACCAACCGTGCTTTATACCTTTTGAGAGATCCATCAGAATTATACTTGATGGTGAACACCCATTTGCAGCCAACTGTTTTCTTCCCTCTCGGTAGATCCATTTCTTCCCATGTGTGATTCTTCTCAAGTGCTTTCATCTCTTTAGAAATAGCTTTCCTCCACTCAGGAACCTGTAAAGCTTCTTGTACATTCTTTGAAATTTTCACAAAAGTGAGATGTGAGGTAAACGCAAAAAATGAAGGAGAAAGATTCTTATAGGACACATAATTAGACATGGGATGTTTAGTGCATGACCGAACACCCTTGCGGGTGGCAATAGGAATATTGAGATCATCAAATGACTCAGTACTAGCACTAGGGATAGACTGTATGGAATCACCAAGGGGCTCGGGACTGGAATTTAACAAGGAATCGGATTGATTGTTACCTGGTTTTGGTTCTTCCCTCAATTCGGACTCATGGCCTTGTAGAGGATCGGGACCTTGTTTCTTTGAATTCAGTTTCCTCTTTGAATAGACTAAGAGATCTGTATTCTTAATACCAATTTTGTTCCCATTTTTTGAGCTGCTGAGATTCTGATTTTGACATGGCAGTAGACTGCTGGAATTTTCAATATGTAAAACATCATTTGTTCCATCCCATATTTTCCAGTTTTTTAACGTGTGAATCCGAATTTTCAGTCTCAATATTAGGAGTGTGTTGAAATCTATTTCAAAAACATCAAAAACATCGTTAATTCCTAATTTGGTTACATCTTCACTTGTACTCTCCCCTTGAAGATGAGTAGCAAAAAAAGGTTTAGATTCAAAAAAGGTTACATCCATGGTAACAAACATTTTCTTAGAAATTGGATCAAAGCATTTAAAACAGACATTTTTTAGCTCTAGGGTCAAGTTTTCCCTGGTTATGATCATGAATGTGTACAAAGGCTGTGCATCCAAAATTTTTTATAGGAAGTGTAGATGATAACCTAGGGCCTCGTTCACTTCGCTGATTCGAGTTGAGATATGATTTTATGTGAGAACTTTTTGCTGTAGCAAAAAAGTTAGATGTGATTGTTTGTGAGAGCTTTTTACTGTAGAAAAACTCGAATCAGCGAAGTGAACGGGGCCTAGATGTTGGATAGCAACTTGAAAATACCTGTAATGGTGTTTTGGTATGTAGCTGTGAGGATAGCTTCCCCCCAAGAATACTTCGGGACCTTATTTGTGAAATGTAGTGCTCTAGCTACTTCTAGGAGGTGTTTATTCTTTCGTTCAGCTATTCCATTTTGTTAGGGGGTATCATTATACGAGCTCTGGTGAACTATGCCTTTTTCTAGGAAGAATTTTGCCAAAATCTTGTTAAAATACTCTTTTCTATTATCACTTCGAAAAACTTGAATTTGTGTTTGAAATTGTGTCATCACCATTATGTAAAAATTTTTGAACACCTCCTCCACATCTGACTTTACTTTTAGTAAGTAAACCCAACTTACCCTTGTGTGATCATCTATGAAAGTGACAAACCATCTCTTTCTCGATGGTGTGGTGATCCGTGAAGGCCCCCATATGTATTAATGAAAAAGGTTTTGAAGCCTTGTATGGTTGTAATGAAAATGTGGTACGATGATGTTTAGCTAATTCACAAAATTCACACTGAAATAAAGATGGATTTTTATTGCTAAATAAGTTTGGAAACAAATGTTTTAAATATTGGAAACTAGGGTGGCCTAACCTATAATGCCACATCATTATTTCATCCCTACTAGTAATAGAAATAGATTCAAGACTATGTGTCAGTCTTCTTGATTTGGATCCATCTTCAAAGAAATAAAGTCCACCAATCTCTCTAGCACTGCCAATCGTCCTCCCCGAGGTTAGTTCTTGAAACTCACAATAAGATGAATGGAAGTTAGCTTGACACTTATGATCATGAGTTATTTTGCTTATGGATAATAAGTTACGAGACAAATTTGGAACATAGAGGACATTATGAAGTGTGAGAGATGGAGAAACGTTGACTGATCATATTCCAGCTATGGCTGAAAAGGATCCATCTGCAATTTTGATCTTTTTATTCCCTGCACACAGTTTGTAGGATGAAAATAGTTATGAAGAGCCAGTCATGTGATCTGTGGCTCCGGAGTCAATAATCCATGCACAAAACATATTAGATTTTATACTACAGAGAGCTGTAATGAGATAATTACCCTTTTGAGCTAAAGATGAAGAAGAATTTGAAAATTGTGGAGATTGAAAGAGTTTGTACAGACGGTCTAGTTGTTCCTTTGTGAACTGAGTTATTTCCGAGTTGATTTGCTACCTTTGAGAATCCTCACTCACGGTTTGGAATTCTTTGCCATCACCTCCATTCTTCTTTTTAAAATTCTTCGGTTTGTCATGAAGTTTCCAGCATGTTTCCTTTGTATGCCATGGTTTTTTTGCAGTGTTCACACCATGGTTTATTTTTCTTTTCTTCCTCTGGATCAAATCCTCTAGAGACTAGCCGAACTTTCTGCTTCAGGATTGAGCTTCAGTTCTTGGGTTTTTAGCATCACTCTTCGCCTAGCCTCCTCTCTCCTAACTTCTGAAAACACTTCTCTGATAGATGATAAGGGTTTTTTTTCCTAAGACCCTTCCTCTTATTTCATCTAATTCTTGATTGAGTCCCGCTAGAAACATGTAAACTCGATCATTCTCCTCTCTTTTCGTATGCCGCACACTATGAGTAGGACAATCCCATTCATCTTCATAACACAAATCCAATTCTTGCCATAAAGTCACCATCTCATTGTAGTATGTTGTGACATCTCGATCTCCCTGCCTGGATTGCCACAGCTTCGTCTTTAGTTTGAAGATTTGTGATGAGTTTTCTAGGTCTGAGTACATCTCACGTACAGCTTCTCACATATCTCTGGCGGTTGGTAAGAATAGATGGGGTTTCCCAATGGCCTGCTCCATTGAGTTGATGAGCCACGCCATTATCAAAGAGTTCTCGGATCACCATACCTTCAGATTCGGATCACCCACTGCTGGTTTTTTTACCTCTCCAGTTAAATGGCCAAGTTTCCCCCTTTCATCAATTGCGAGCTTCATGGACTGAGCCCACTCCAAGTAATTCTTGCCATTTAATTTGTGAACAGTGATTTGAAGAGAAGGATTTGCATATATGTTGCAAATGGATATGTGCCGTTGGTCATGGCAGTGGTTCTGGACTGCTCATTCTCTGCGGAATCCCTTGAAGAAGCAGAGGTCCTACTTGCTCCAGTCATGGCAGTCTTTGCCATTAAAACTTAAGAGCTAGCTATGATACCATGTAGTTTTTTAGAAGAAAAAGAACTTACTTTCTTATTATTAATATGCGGAATTTAGAAGCTATTTATAGGCATAAAACTAACTTAGAAAATCTATCCTAATCATGAAATCCTAATTGGATTCCAAGTCATCCTTATCCGGACCTAATCAAACATTCTATCCGGATTTCTAAATTTAAAAACAGAATCAAGGAAGAGATAACTCCTAACTTTTAGAATGATAATCTCCTTAAGAGATAATTTCCTAACTTTAAAAAACCCTAGGTCTTCGACACATGTCTATGGTGAATGTTTGAACATTTCTTCTATTACATAACATTATGTTTGGTAGGATAGATAGAAAAGAAGAAGGAAAAGTAAGATACCTAGGTGAAGGAAGTAAAATGGTTTTCTCTCATGTTGTTTGGTAGAAGAGAAAGAAAAGTGAAAAGAAAATGTCAAATTTAAGGCATTTTACAATAATATCCCAATACAAATAAAAATATGATGAATGGTGAAGGTTAAAATTGTTATTTTACATCTCATTTGCTTGTCAAACTTTTTCCCTCCTCTTTTCTTTTCAAAGTTGGAAGGATTAAAAATTGGTGAGCCCCATGGATTTTCATTTTCCTTCCTTATTTCCTCTCCAAAATCCTTCCTCTATATTCTGTCCGCTCTCTTTTCCACCCTACCAAACACACTGTAAATATTCTTCTTCTCGCAGGGCTTAGTATCCTTTCAACCCTCGGCATTCTGTGAGTGCTTCGTCACAAGAAAAACATACTGACGAGCTCTAGTGTTCTCCTAGTTATAAAAACAAGAAATGGTTTGTCAATTCTAAACCATAATCACTTGAGAATGATTTCTTGAGCGCTCATAATCTTAAAAGTTTATTTATGATATCATTTTCTGTTTGTCGTGAAAATGTTTTTTTGGTTTGTAGACTATTTATGTACGCTGCCTGATGACAGTGCAGCCTCGGACCAACAATTGGAGGCCATGTTGTTAACGGCAATTGAGGGTTTTAGAAGGAAGGACGTTGGGCTTTATAAAGAACCATTGGGCCGTGTTTCTCATGTGTTCAATGTGTTGAAAATTCAAGAATGTCCAGCCCAAGAAGGAGATCAAATTTGTACAGCTTTAGGACGAGATTAATTTGGCAAGTTTCCAGATTGGTTTGGCACACAAGTCAAGGATTTTAGTTTCCCTTTTTGTTTTGATTTGTTTCCTGATTTAATTTCCTTGGAGACTAAGTTAGTAGCTGTTTCCTATTTTATAGTTTCCTGTTTTGTTTTGTGTTCACATCAGCTAAGGGATGAATGGCCTTTATGCCCTTTTAGTTTCTTTTGCATTTTTATTGTAACCTTAGCCCTATAAAAGGCTTCTTACACGCCATAATGAAAACAGAGTGAGTTTTTGTTTTGCCATCTTGGTGCTTTGGTTGAGTGCGCTCCCAAATTGTGAGAATCGTGTGTTCTCGTGTTATTTTCCTTATTCTATTCTAACGTGAGTTGGAATATCACTTCCGCTGGTTTGTGAAAACTTTAGTCGGGAGTTTTGTTCTTGAGTTTGAGAGGTGCAGAACCTTGAAGGCACATCACTGCCTTCATAGAAGCTTTACGTTGTTCTGTTTGTATTACATCTATAAGAACATAACTGGATTGTGTAGACTAAAGTGAGATTATTTAATCTATGAACTAGCCATTCAGTTTTTTTGGTTTTTGAAAATCATATGCTGTCCTCCCTTATCCTATTTATATTAACCGAATTCTTAGTTTTCTCGCTGTCCTTATGCATGTAGATTTTTGGTTTATTATGCAAAATCGTTGCTCTGTTTATTTTTTATTTCTTTTTTACCATTTAAGTGCTGCTTATATGACTATGCCTCCATCGCAGTTTATATCATTTCTTCTGGACCCTGGTTTTACTTTCAGGTTTTTGCTTCGCGAAAAATACTCAAAACCTTTTTTGCTGTTTGTTGTTTTTTTTTTTTTTTTTTGGGGACCAAAAATGCACTTCTGGCGGTGCAACTATTGGTCATAACTGTAGTCTCATGCATCTTTTCTCACACAAACTCGGTAGTTCCAAGACTGTCTTTTTGGGGACCAAAAATGCACTTCTGGCGGTGCAACTATTGGTCATAACTGTAGTCTCATGCATCTTTTCTCACACAAACTCGGTAGTTCCAAGACAGCTTTGGACAGTGAAGGTAAAATGTACTTAATTTTGCTCTCCTGAACTCGTTTTGAACTAATGGCATATGGGTTTTTTGTGGCAAATTGAGAATTCATGTGCTGGAATGTTAATGCTGGTCAATTTGTAAATTGCACTCTTTTCTTGGGAGTTTTCCAAGCTCTTCAATGCATCTCCTCGTTTTGTTCAACTAAATTTTGCAATTATATTAAGAATCTAGTCTTTATTAAGAATCTAGTCTTTGGTTCAGTGACTAGAAGTAATGGAGGAGGCTACAATACTAAACTGGTGGAGGTGTGAATCTAGTTTTTTATGCATTAAAATCTTGTGGAAATTAGCGACATATTAGGGATTTGAATATATGACTTTTCATTTTGTCCTTCCCATCTTTTTGGCTATCATGTTGGGCATTTAATGGCTTCTTTTCGCAGGTTCAAGTTGAAAACTTGAGTTAAAAAAATGAATTTATGTAAGAAAAAATACTGTAGTTGTAGAAATGCTGATTCTTTCTCCTGTTTTATCTTTTGATTATTATTTGTGTTTTTGTTAAAATTGCATTAACCTATATTTAGCTTTGCTTAAAGTTATATGTTAAGTCAAATATGTCTTTAATTGGTTAGAGTATGCATTTTTGGCAAAAATTGGTTTATTTTATTTTTTCACTCATTCTAAATGGAACGTCCAATTCCGTAACTGATACTACTTTCCTCTCATATTGCTCGTCAGTGTGGCGTTTAATAAGCATTGTAATGATAGTGCACTCAATTCGGATATCAACATCTGAGGTCGTTTTGTTATGAATGTTTGCATGTTTGAGAATGAAACTGTTTCCTATGTAACAATGCTTTGTCATAATTAAAGTAGACCACCACACCATGTGATTATAAAGCTATACAATGGCTAAAGCAAAGAGATGTTGAACAATATTCACTATTTGTTCCATACCCACTTAAAAAGGAATGAAAAAGAAAAGTACTCTACCAATAGACCGAACACTATATTTGGTACGGAGGGAAGAAAATATACGAGAGAAAATTAGAGTTAAAAGAAAAGGTTTTGTTATTTCTCATGTTGTTGGGTGTTTGGTCCGAGGAAAGAAGTTGAAAGTACCTTTTATTAATAGGTATTGTAAATTAAATTGGAGGAAAAGTTGTATTATTTTGAAGTTACTACTTTGCCTTTTTTTTTTCGCGGTTTCTCAAGTATTTTAATTAACATATAAGAATGATATAGTAACATTATTTTATTTGTCTCACTTTTTTGTCAAATTTTTCTCTTCATTTTCTTTTCAATTTTGAAGATATGAAAAATGCGAAATGCGGATCTCCTAAGAGATTTAATCCCTCCTATTTTCCTTTCTTTTTTCTCAATTTTCACTCTAAAATTCTCTACCTTTTTTCCTTTCATCCACTTTTCATTCCTAACAGATATAACATTAAGTGTTAGAGTTAATTCACTTTTAGTTACTGAGCTACATTGATAGTCTCATTTTAATCCTTAAACTTCAAGTTTTTATAAAGTCTCATTTTAATCCTTAAACTTCAAGACGTTACAAATTGCATCATAAACTATGCTACTTGACTCATGTTTGGTCCTTTAGTTGCAAAACTCATTAGAAAGTCGATGGAAAGATTTATGTAAGCTATATGTTTGACGTATTATGCTACATGTTTTTCAATACATAATGTAATATTTGCTTTTCTCTATAAAGTTTTAAGCTTTAAAAATTTGTGAAATGCAAATTTTAAAATTTCAAAGCTTAAAAAATAACAGTAATTATTCAATGAAAAAGGCAATATGCTAACCAATAAAAAAACTAAAAAATTTGAGAACATTGAATTCCAAATATCAAATTTAACATTAAACATAATATTCAATTGAACTGTGGTTTTCTTACCATTATTTGTTATAATTAGTGATGCAATCATTACAAAAATATTGCACTAAACTAAAACTTTTATATAACAAATGGGACCTTTTTTTTTATATAATTGACACGTGTTGTGATAACAATACATTAGTATCAAAATTTGACATTATATTGAAAATCCGATATTCATTTCAAAAAAAATCCGTTAGTTTTTTGTCCCTATTTTAAATATTCATTTCAAAAAAAAATATCGTTACTTTTTTGTCCCTCGTTGTTTATGAAAGAATATTACAAGAATCACTTGAAATATTACTCTTTTTTTCGCTCTCTATGTTATTTTGGATGTGTCTTCACACTTCACACTTCCCAAAAGCAACGAAACCTTTATTGCAAACCATTCTATAACAATTTATTACAAATATGCCATTCTTACATTTTACAGCATTACCACTATTGTATTCTTATGTTTACGTGTATTCCTAAAATATGGTTTCCTTGAAAACTCCAAAATATTATATCTTTTTTTTTTCCCCAAATGTAAAACAATCAAATAATGTCATCAACAAACAAAAGCCTAAACAATATTTAAATAGATTTTTTTATTTGTTATTAGGCAAAAATAAATTTTCATCCAACAAAATATTGCAACGAAAAGCTATTAGCATAAAGAAGAGTAAAATTTGAGAGCTACTCTTTTACTGTCTAATATGTTAGATCTAAAATATGTGGACGATTCGACCCAGCGAAAAAACATGGAGGCCCAACCTCGTTCATTTTATTAGTTTAAAACACCAACTTAAATTTTTAGAGTAATATTTTTTCTCATAAAAATTTAAATTTAATTTTTTGTGTTATAGTATTTTTTCTTACATAAATTAACTTTTCAATTTGAGTAGAGTAGGTA